TACATTTACTTCCCTTTTTAAAAAGTTTTTGAAATATTGATATTAGCCATCACTACATTTACTTCCCTTTTTAAAAAGTTTTTGAAGTATTGATATTAGCCATCCCCACATTTACTTCCCTTTTTAAAAAGTTTTTTCTTTGCTTGTTTTATTATTGGTAGTTTTCCAATAGACATAGAAAAGTTGTTTTATAATCAAGTTCTAAATACAATGAGGTTCCAAATGTAATATTTATTGTTTATCTATTATTGGCTGGTAATTCCTGTTTCACCCTGTACTCAAGCTTTTTAAAGCAACAACACATTACTGTAAAAAAGCTAACTTCTAGGGGGAATGATAACGTCGTTTACACTATAATTATGATTTTTTTAAATTACTACTAGTTAATAATACTTATAAAAGTGGATACTCCGTCTGGAACTATGTCACCTCGGTGAAATTGGTTGACACCATTGTCTTTGATTTTTGAGTTATCATGTAATAAGAAATAAGAACAAGAAATTCAAACTTTTTTGTAATGATATTTACAGACATTTCCAGAACTTGTGACTCGGTCATAGATATTGTTATAAAAGGAAACACTGTATAGTATTGTAAAGTTCTGATGATCTATTGAGGAGAAATTCAAAACACTATTTTGATAAATAATCCAAGCCATCCCTACATAGACAGTGCTGCCTCCTGCCTGACATATATATATATATGTTTATTTATTAATTTATTTTTATTTTCCTTTTCTATAAAATCAAAGTTAAATAAATAAATATTTATTTATTTATTGTCCAAAATGAGTTTCATTCTGTGGCTTGTTTGCGCTGTAGGAAACACGTTAACACCAAAGACAAATTTTGAATTGGGAATAACCTACTGAACAGATTATATAAAATGTTATAGATTGTGTTTTTGGATAGGTATGCTGTTTTTAAATTAGTTGCCAACATGGAGCCTCCATGAAAATTAAACCAAATGTTTAATCTTGGGGAATTCTAGAACAGCGTAAAGTTTAGTTTCAAATCCTTAATTATCCATAGATTATAAATAGAAAGAATGAAATTAAGTAACTTCCTTGAATTCAAAATTAAACTCTAAACTAAAACGTACAAATAAAATATTGTTTGAATATAAAGAAACTATTTTTCATTTATGTTATTTCTGCACAGAAGAGATCTATGAAAGAAGAGGAGGTAATTCAAATAGCTTTGCACTAGTGCCACCTAGTGGTCCTAAGAAATATTCGGATACCGTCCAGCATCAAGATACTCCTATTTATCAAAGCGTTCCCAAATCACAGACACATCTACCTGAGCCTACATCTGCCTCTGAACACTTGATACATGACTGTCAGAGACAATGTAAGCACTTCCTCTAATAACATTTGAAATTAAAAGAATAATGATGAGCGTGTTTTCTATAAATTAATGATATTGAAAAGACTTATGTTTAAAAACAAACAAACTGTGACTTGAGCAATATTTCACGATGATGCCGTTATGAAATAAAGGAATTTATCTTTAAGAGGTAATATTTTTGTTTGTTTGTTTTGAATTTCGCGCAAAGCTACACCAGGGTTCGCGGATCGCGGGTTCGAATCCCCGTCATACCAAATATGCTCGCCCTTTCAGCCGTGGGGGTGTTATAATGTGACGGTCAATCCCACTATTCGTTGGTAAAAATGTAGCCCAAGAGTTGGCGGTGGGTGGTGATGATTAGCTGCCTTTCCTCTAGTCTTACGCTGCTAAATTAGGGATGGTTAGCGCAGATAGCCCTCGTGTAGCTTTGCGCGAAATTCAAAACAAACCAGACCAAAATTAGAGACTGCGGCAGATGATAGCTTTAGTAGTTTTGCTATAAATACAAATTACAAAGCCTCCATTATCAACTCGCCACTGTCTGAAGATGCAATAGAAGATTATTAGCATTTTTACCATAAAGAACTGTCGTGTTGTTATTGAGTTTAACGTCTGTATTTATGTTATAATTTTGCCTACTATATTTCGTAGGTTCTGCTTTCAGAAAAAGTGTACACCTTTATTCCGTAATAAATATTCATTTCCTTTGATCTGTAATATACCTCAATCTCTCACCGACGTGTAAGTACGGAGAAAATAGAGTTCAATATATCTTTATGTAATTTAAAAAGTTGTGTGTGTGTTGTTTAGTATAACGGTTGAAATTCTCCGTAGATTACGATGACGAACTGGCACCTTACGCCACCTTCCGGCTACCCGGTTGTGATTCAGACACCGAAAGTTCCCAGGGTACAGTTCGAGAACTACAGACCTTTGGCAACCAATACGAGCGGTCTTTCCCCGATCCTTCGGCTCAGTACGACGTTCTATTTCACGTAAACATACTTTAATCAAATTAGAAAAAAAAACATAGCCAAAACCACCCGACAATACCGTGAATTTAATGAGGACTGAGTATTTTATGCCATCTTATTCTAAAAAGAAAACGTTCTCCGTTTCACATTTCTTTCCCACAAAATGCATTCTGAGTGAATGTTTACTTTACATCTTAGTTTGCTAAGATATGTCGTTCAAAGCAATAAAAATCATTCCAGGATGATAGAGTTTAATATATACAATCCGTGAAAGTTATAAAGAAGGTTTTATAATAGTTTTAGTGATATGAAGTTATCCTCCACGTAGATCAGTGGTAAGTTTGCGAACTTACAACTGTAAAATCCAGGATTCGATTCCCCGTACTCTGTCGTGTAGCTTTGCACTAAAACAGATGAGATTTATTTTTGCTTGTTGTTAAATGCAAAGCTGCACATTGGGCTGGCTGTGCTGTGCCCGCCACAGGTATCGAAGCCCGGCTTTTAGTGTTATAAGCCTTCAGATTTACCGCTGAGCCACTGGACGTTTCACCTGGTGGCCTTTAGTTATATTCAGTAAATACATGTAACCAGTAACCTACTGTACAATAGTTGTACTGTAATTACTTGAATACGTTGTATTTTGGTATTGTTGTTTTCATTTATTCAACAAATTATTAGAAATAATTTTAATTAATCAATAGAAAGATTTTAATTAAAAATCCTTTTTATTATTTGTTTATTGTAATCACCAACGCCTATTATACATGTTTACCAAAGGTTTTGATTTTACTTTCAGGCAGGAAGATCCAACCTGGCAAAACGTGAAAATAGGCAGTCATCCAAAACGTTGTAAGTACCTGTGGCTCAATTCCTACTTGAAGTAGTATCACTCAGTAAATACGTATTGAAATATAGGAAGAAGTGAAAGATCTGAGGTCAGAAACTCTTTGACAGTATATCTATTTTATATAACCGAACAATTGAACGTTTAACGAATCCATTCTCATGCCATTAAGTTCTGCTCTGTGGCTCCCTCTGTTGGAGTCAACTAATCTTTGCTCCTTTTTTTTATGTACCCATGGATGTTTGTTTTTGGAAGTTGTTTGTAAATTATAGAGAGACGATTTTGAAATGGCGATATGACAAAACAATTCGTTCTTTGTTTTTTGGAGGAGATGGGAATCTACAACGTTTTATTACCATTTTTGCGCTGTATTATTTTACAGATTTTAGAGTTGTGCAGGTGTGAAATATCGTTGTATATAATAAAACCCTTACGTGGATCTTCACCAAGTGTTTATTGATGTGACTTTTTTGTCTCATACAAAGACATCAATATAATAACTACCCCGAATTCAGTGTATGACAATCAATAGTTACCAGAATTGTTGTTACTAAATAATCCGGTTTACGATTAAGTAGTAATACCAGATGTATGACAATATATAATTACTCATATTGTTGTTACTATACAATGCAGTTTACTGTCAAGTAACAATACTCAGATTATAACAATGAATAATTGTTGTTACTAGATAATCCGGTTTACGATTAAGTAAAAATACTCGTTTACTCGTTGAGCTTGATTTGAATCATGTATAACTTTTCCAAAAGTCTGAAAGATTTTTTACCCTGTACGTATAACAAACAGAAATATAGTTAATTTTGCAATATCGTACTAAACATGAACATGCAGTGTGTGTGTGTATATACATATTCTTTGCTACAAATATTACTGTTGCCAAATCCAAATTACTACAATCCAACTAATACTGCTAAAGCTTCGGCATCAGTATTAGCATACTCGCCTTGTAATTTATGTGAGGTATTAGATTAACGTTACAGACGTATGATTATCACGCGCTTGTTTTTAGTTTATAGACTGCACTAGTTATAACTTTAACAAGTTGTTATTATTTGTGACTTTATCGTTCCGTACTGAAAGTTCTCATTGGTGCATTGTACTTGAATTTTTTTATCAGTAGGGTATCGGATCTTTGATGTCACTGACGCACAAAAATTGCCTGCTTCAAGTTTTTGGGAAGAACATCAGAATCCTGAAGATTCCGTTGTCCAAGTTTTTACTAAAACTTTAAAACAACTATCAAAGTCCAACGAACCGTCCAGACTTAGGTTAGTAATCGGTAGAAAAACAATGGGGGAGAAGTGGTAAAGAAAGAGAATTGTAGTTAAGCTGGGGTGGAACGGAGGCACTAGGAATAAACGAAAGAGGGAGAGGGGGGAAAGAGAATTTTGATAAAAACATCTGCAGCCAAAAAATATAATAACATAAAACAGTAGTTCTTCTTCTTCTCACAAAAACTTGCTGAGTTCTTCCTGAATAATGTTTCACATTTCTGAACTTTTTTTTCGTCTCCTACCTTTAGGGCTTTATTTTAATACAATCAATCACATAGTTTTAAAAAATATGTATTTATATATATATATTGCTTAGCGGCAAAAAAAGGGTTGAAAATTTTCTTACAATTTTTTGTTGAATTTAAATATTTAGTTAGTTTGATTGTTTGTTTAGTAATTTAGCACAAAGCTACACAATGGGTTTCTAGCGCTATAAGTCCACAAGACGTACTGCTGTTCCACTGAGGGCAAATTTGGTTAAGTTTTAATGTATTTCCTGGTGTTTACCTTTTAGTTCTTGTTGTTGTTTTTTCTCTCTTACAAGTAATTAGGCCAGATATGTTATAAGCTATGATTGTAAAAATTATTGTTCAAC